GGAGCCGGTGCCCGTGCGGCTCCTGCCGAAGAGCGAGAGCATCAGCTGCAGCTCCCGTTTCCTCTCTCCCCACGTTAGGAAGCAGAGACCACAAAAGCAACACACACAACGCTCGCACAGAAGATGGCTTTGTGCCCTGAGTACGAGGGACGTTTCGCCAAGCTTCAGAAATGAAACATCTTTGACACCGGGGAGCCTCGAGACCCAGGGCTTTCTCCTGAGACAGCAAAAGAGACACGGAAGGACGGGCAGCGTCCCACGCGGCTGCCGGGGCTCTATCCTGCTGCTGCCGCCCCTGTCTTGCAAAAGGCCTGTTGTGTGATACTGTAAAACTGGAAGCGTGGTTCAGACAAACAGATGGCACAGAAAAAGGGATGAGATGGGCAAACACTGCAGGAATACAGAGAATTCAGCAAGGGAAAAAACCAAAACAAAACAGGAACAAAACAGAATTGGAAAGGAAAGCGACAGAAGAGGAAAAAAAATCATAATGGGAGAGGAAAATGAAACCAACAGGAACAAAAACACACAGGAACTAACTTTCAAAGTCAAACTCAGGGTCACTGAGAGGGCTGCTCAGACCAGAATCTGCAGAAAACAGTAAAAAATAAATAAATAAAATATACACTTTTGTAAAAATTTCATGCTAATAAAAAAAACCAAAAACCAACATAAATCTAAAGAGGAAAAGAAAGTTATTTTTTTTTGTGCTGCTTAGGCTGGGACAGGATATCTAAGATGCCTTCCCCTCTGCGAGCTGCGCAGATGCTCACACACGCTCCCATCCCCACATGCCCCCTCTCCTTTGGTACTGGGACAGGACAGACTCTCTGCTTGCTGGACCCCAGGTCATCTGGCTGGAGAAGAGCCTACACGCCCTCCTCCAAACCCCGATATATTGAATTCAAACAGCTTTAATTCAGACAGCACCTGCTGCAAACTGCCCCATCCCTCCATCGTCACCAACACACCCCAAGCTCTGATTTTCCAGCTGTTTCCATCTTCACCCAACTGTTTGCAAAACTCTGTGGGAGGCAGGGGACCAGCTCTCTCAAAGCCTTTAAAACCTTTCACTGCTTTACAAACTATACAGCAGAATAAACTAGCTAATTGATAAACTCCTGGGCTAGATAGAAAAGAAAAGGCAGCAGCATCGTTCTAAAGCTAGACTGCACAGAGTCCTTTGAGATCTGCAGCCCTTTGCCCAGCAGAGCCTCAGCGGCAGGCTTGGGGGACAGCTGCCTTGTACGAGCCTCTCGGACCAAGAATTCAGAGGGACAGCACGACCAAAACCGCAGGTCAACGGACGAGAGACTCCCTCCTCTATCGATCACGGTAACTGCAGCTCGGAAGCGCCTTTGCTGACGCCGCTATCCTGCGGGGACAGGGAGAAACACCCCAGAAAGGAAACACAGAACAGCCCCCCCGCTGCTGCTGAGCATCCAGGCTGAGCCGGATGCCCACAACCTTTGTTTTTATCTCAGCACAGGTTTCACGTGGGTGAGTGCAGCTTGCTCTTGGGTCTCACATCACCACCAGAAGCCAACCTGAACCCTCCCAAAGGGAGCTCCTGCGTGCACCTGGTGCATGCCACTGAGCCCAGAAAAAACACAAACTGCAGCCGGGGACACTAACAGAAGCTGGTTATACAGCGGGCGAAGCCGCTGGGACAGAGGAGTCTCTCCAGCGTCCCAGGCAGCGCCCCGCTCAGAGACAGCAGCCTGCTCTCCTGCTGATCCCAACACCTCCAGGCTCTCCTGCTGATGTAGGGACCTGACTGCAGCTGAACAGTCCCTGCACACTGGGTTAAACCTGCTTCCATCCCTCCGCTGAGACTCAATCATTCCTGAGCTCGGGCTGATACCAACGGGTTGTTCCTAACTCTTTTTCTTTTGATGGGAAACCCTCAGCTGAGCGCTGCCTCTGTGCTTCCCCGAAGACCCCCACCCTAAGAAAACTCATACAACGCTAAGGACAGGACTGGGATGGGAAACAGGAGCTGCAGGAACATTACTAACAAGCACAAAACAGCAAAAAAACAAAACAAAACAAAACAAAAAACAAACAAACAAACTGAAAACAACAGCCAGCCCCCAAAAAAGCACAATAAATTCCCTTCCAAATCCTCGAGCAGCAGGAACTCGGAGGCAGAGGAGCGCACCGGTGGGCAGGCACCGTTCAGCATCGCCAAGTGTCTGTCTGCGTGAGGACGCGCCCGTGTCGGTGGTGGCTTGCAGAGGTGCCATGCAGGCGGCTTGGACATGCATGGACATGGGGACACACGTGGACAGAAAGGAGGGTGCGTCGAGCCTCGCTGCTCGGGTGCGGTTCCACGTTTGCTCAGCAGCTGGTTGCAAGGAGACGCTGCCTCGTCTGCACAAAGCAACCAGCCGCCTTCCTCTCCCTGCACAACCCCCAGGATAGGCTTGCTCCCAACAGGAGTTTTTGGCACGTATGCAAGAAGCACCAGTTGGGGACGTGGCTGGAGCAGGGCACGCAGGGCAGCCCGCCACGCTCCGTCTCCGCTGCCCCCAGGGATCTCCCTCGCATCGGTGGTCTGGCAAGCTCTGGCAGCTGTGTATTTAGCCCAGAATGCACCAGTTTAGCTGGGGATCCAGGAAACCCCCCCTTCCTGCCCTGCCAGTGCTGGGTAGAGGTTTCCTGGAGGTTTCCCAGCACAGGTTTATTTCAGTCTCGCTCAGCACGGACAAGGCTTTGAGGTTCCTTGGCTGCATCCTAGGTTAGCGCTAGGTCCCAAAGGCAGCACCGCAGCAGCCTCCAGGCAAGCAAGAAGGGGCTCAGGAAAGGGCAGTTGCTCCACTCCTGCCTTCCCGGGGAGAAAGGCTGGTTTGCAGCTGGTTACCTGGAGTTTGGAAGTTGATGCGCCTCATTTCCACAGGGTCCTTGGGGTGGTGAGGGGTGATTTCAGCATTGTTCAGGAGGCATTTCGTCCGTGGCTCTGAATCTTTCCGTTTGCTTTAAAATTAAAATAAAAAAAAAAAAAAGAAACAAAAGAACAAAAAGACAAAGCATCTTAGCTTACGGGCCTTTCAGGCTTTTCAGCTGCTCAGGGCATGCTCAGACCTGAGCACAGCTCCCACAGAAACCAGGGCCAGATCCAGCCAAGGGTACAAGTTAGATAAAATGCATGAGAAAAGGGATGGAATTTGGAAGTTTTGTCAGTGCTGTATTTGGTGGGTTTACAGCAGCCCCTCAGCAGCGTTCAGACAAGTCTGGAAGTTCCCCGTAAGTCCGGCCAGGAAGCGAGGGGCAGCTGGGGTGCTGTGGACTCACACCTCAGCCTCCCTGCACGGACAAGCCTCCGCTGAACTCTGCAGAGCTCTGCAAGCAGAAACCTTCCAATTCCGGCCAGGCCATTTTCAGGCTGAAAGAACCAGAGCCAACATAATCATTTGGAAAAGTCCAGAACCCCCTGGCTGTGACCTTGGACATAAAGCACCGATATTGCTCTGCTGGCTTGTTTAGGAGCTCTCAGTGCCCTGCTGCACACAGAGAAGTCGGGGCAGTGGTTTTCAGCCTTTTTTTTTTGATCTGCAGAACCCTATAAATCCAGGTTCAAATAAACCAGTGTAGACACATCCTCTCCCATCACAGCTGTGCCTGCTGAGATCCGTCTCACCTCTTTGCCAGAAGCTGAAGCCCGCTCCAACCTGCCAGCTGAGCTGCACATCTAAGTGCTTCCTAATATATATTGCTCAAAATGAGTTAGGTTCGCTAAGGCAGTTGAAAAGTCTTTGCTGACCTGGCTCATTCTCCTTGAAAAGAATTTGGAAGCAAAGCCCAGTGCTGATCTGAAGATGTGATAACCTCTGGCAAAGGAACAGTGACAAGCTGCTTCTCCAGCGGGCAGAGAACCTGTACCCACACCCTCAGGCTTGCAAATACCGCCCCAGCCCTTCCAGCACCATGGCTGTAGAGCCTCTTGCCTCTCCTGCTTGGGTTGCACAGAAACCTCCAACAATACGCCTGCAGCAATAATGGCAATTACTTAGGCAGAGAGGAGGTTATTCAGGACATTTTTAGCTGTCTCTTAATGTCATTAATAGCTAGAAGAAGTGGCAGGAGCCCTGCCAGCACTGCATGGGACAGCATTTTGGAATTACACCACTTTGCAGCTTGGGAGCAGTTTATTTTTGCCGCAGTTCTGAAACTGCTGTGAATAGTTCATTGGCTAAACCCATCAGTTACTTCCAGTGAAAGCTCTCCCAGCCTTGGAAATGGTTTGAAATAAGTCTCATTTTTGCAGTAATAAAGGAACTCTGTTAGAAGTCGCCGGCTGATGGGGCAAGAACAGCTTTTGCAATGGGGCGAGGACAGCTCAGCTGGTTAGATTCTGCTTCCAGTTTGCCAGTGGCTCAGGGACAGCCCATATGGAGCAGTCAGACATGGAGAAAACCCGCTTTCACCTCTGACTGCAACACAAATGGGTGTTTCTCTGCTCCATTAACCCAACATTTTATGAGCCGTTTACTGTCACTGCTGCTCAGCTTGAGACAGGGCCACCGTACGTAGGAAGGGACAAGCAGGAGAAAGCTGGGCTTTCTTTGCCTTTTCTGCCCTGATTCAAGCATGGTCCCACGCTAGCCTGACACCGGGTGTCCCTTAGGACAGGTCTAATGGTAGGAACTGGACCAACAAAGCCCCATCACCCCAGACAGCAACCACTGCCTAACACACAGCACGAAAGAACCTCAGTAAACGGCAAAGGTGGTGCTCTTACCTGTCTGGCTTGCTGTCCAGGAAAGCAGTAAGTGGAGAGAAGACAAGACAAATGTTCAGGTTAGAAAGGACTTGCAGAAGAAGGGGGAAGTATTTGCTCAGCTCTAACCCTGCTATCACAGGTGGAAGGTGGGACCAGCACAGATTACCCAATTAGATCAGCGCTAACGACCACCAACAAGCACCACCTGCGTCCCTGACCCCAGAGCACTCCTGGGTCCACCAGCAGCTTCACAGGTGCTGGGATGCACAAGACACATCCATGTGCATAAGCAAACACACCTGTGCAGGTGAAGGAGGGCCCAGAGTTAAGAGAGCTCCCTCCAGCCTGGGACTGAACATCCCAGCTCAGGACACCCCTTTTCTTTCTCTATTTAGCTCAGCATCTGCTTCCTCTCCTGTCCTCTTCCACTGCACAGCGCGCCCTGCGTGTGCTCACGGGTCCCCGCTCCCATCCACGCACCACGAGCTGCTCAGAAAGCCAAGGACAAGGGAGAGCCTTCTGCGGGTTGTTCCCTCACGTGACACCCCTGCTGCTGTTGCTCTTGTCTCCTAACTCCAGCTGAAAACCAGTTTGGGAACAATGGAGGTCTCTGCGGATCCACAGCACCAAGGTGGTTCCTCTGCAGCACTGTGCATACCCAGAGCACCGGCTGGGGAGCCCGAGCTGTGGCTGTGAGCAGCAATTCTGGAGGAGACAGGCAAGAGACCTGCCAAACTCATTGCACATATGTCACAAGAGCCTGTCTGTAGACCAGCACAGCTTTGCTGAGTGCCACGGGGTAGACACTGAAGCAGCAGGTCCCTGCAACCCGCTGCTGGTCTCTCCTGTGCCAGTCAGACCCTTCCACGTCAGCATTTGTGCCCCAGGGCTCCTCTCTCTGGTGCTGGTGGAAGGATTTGCCCCCAGCTGACAACTACAGGACCAAGGAGGAAACTGCCTTTAGGGGCCAGAGCTGGGGACATCCAGAATGGTCACAGGTCTGGGCAAGAAGCATCTCTTACTTTTTGTAGAGTAGAATGGCAATGACAATGCAGATGATGAACACCACGGCCAGGACGGGCCCGATGACCCAGATGAGCCCTTCCTCTCCATCGATGATGGGCTGCGGATCAGGGTTGTCCAGCTGGATGGGGTCGGAGAACGGACTAGCGGCAAAAGTCTGGAAGACATGAAAGGTTGTGGAGCAGAGTTCAGAGGTGCCATGGGGAGTGAAAACAATGGGCAAGCATACGGTGTTCCATGAGAGAAACTGCTAGAGAGGGTGTGATCTCCCTGCAGCACAAACCAAGTAATAACAAAAAAAAATACCCTCTGCAACCTACTGAAAACACTCTGTGAGCACCCACACAGAGGTACCTTCCTCCTCCAGTGCTCCACGCAAGACAGACCATTGAAAGATCACAGTCACACGAAGCTGTAGGCTGCCTTGTGCCTATGGCTACCTCGTCTCGTAGCCACGAAGGCGCTTTTACAAACCCACTTGACTTATGCCTCTGTTCCACCACATCTCTGAGCCCCCTCCCCTGCCACAAACACTTTTTCCAAGCTCTCATGTAACCATTTGGATTTTGACAGTCAGATGGGATTATAGAGAAAGAGGGAAGGGATTAAAACACGAATTAATGCCTAGAACAGCCTGGTCTGGTGACTGGAAAAAACCCACCTTTACAATTAAACAGAAATGAATAAAATGCAATGTCTCCTCTGCTCCCTCTGCTGCGAGCTGTGCTCTCGAGGAGCATCAGAAGCACACTGAAACTCACCAGAATCCTAACGAACGGGCACTGCCTGCTTGTTCTCACGAGTGCTACCATCTCCCCACCCCAGGAAGGCTGCGTTCCCATCTTACGCAGAAACTACAGAAACTAAAACGCACAGAGGAGAATTGGCACGGCCTGGTTTGAGGGAAAAGTCTGGGACAGGACAAGAACAGGAGATCTGGGCTCTGGGTCCTTGAACTCTTATCAGCTCTCAGCAAGGCTGAAATGCTGCTACATCCGTGGGAGCTGCGGTGAACCCAGGCTGGCGTGAGCGAGTGCACAGTACCTTGTTCTAAAGCAGAAATTACCCCAAGCTGCAGTAATCCGATTGAAAAACCCATTCAGAAGCGTGTCAGCCTAATCCTTTAATATCAAATACACAACTAAATATTTATTTGGGAAAAAAAAAAAACCAACCCTCTGAAAACACTTAATTTCAAATAGCTCCCTGCTACAACTCCACAGGGGGATTTAAAAACAACAAAGTATTAGACTGCTTTCTATTGTGCGTGAGGGAGGAGGCAGGTAAATATTAAAACAGTTGTTTTCATAACGCCAAACACAACAACACTGAGATCAGCAGAGGTGCTGAAGTGGTAAAAAGAGCAGAGAGCACATGTAGTTTTCCATTTTAAAAAATGCTCCCCTCTCTGCTTGGCAGGGAGCTTGGTAATGACCGGGGTGTGTGACACGCCGCTTTCAAAGCAGGATGGCCAGGGTCATTGCTCCAGGGAATACAGGGACAGGCTGTACAAGAAATTACTCTTTGTAAAGGAGTTTGACCCAGGGATCTCTGAACTCAAGTGCAGTCCTGAGTGGATAGTTCCGTACTCTCCACTCTGGACTGAAATCTGGAGCCACAAGTGCGGCGAGTCCTGCGTACAGCGACCGGCAAGATGCAGCAGCAGCGCACAAAATGAGGAGTGCATCGTCAGCCCGGCTGCTTGGAGGAGCACGTTTGCTGCACGCAGACACAGGCACAAACAGCTCCAACAGCTGGGCTGGGAGGTCTTTACAAAGAAAAACACCTCAAGCTCTGGTGGGAGAGAGTTACGGAAAATGCCAGGAGGGGACCAGGGCTGGTGGCAGCTCACGGGGGAGCAGCTGCTGTCACCGGTCGCTAATGGGGACAGAGGGGCACAAGCATCTGAAGAGGACAAGGGAAAGCAGGCAGCGCTTACAGCCTCGGGTTCCTGGAGCACCGCCAGGATGAAGATGACGTATCGCTGCCCTGGCTCCAAGGCTCTGTTCTCGAAGTTGTCGTAGTGCTTCATGTCCCCCAAGATGAAGTGGGAGGGGAGGGAGCGAAACCGGGCGGCAATGTAGGGCTTGGGGAAGTCCAGCTGGCGAGAGTGACGCAGACTTCGGCGTCGCAGCCTGGCAATGTCCTGAATGAGCTGCAGGAAGCAAAGGAACACTCTGAGCCCTGATGGCTTCAGCACCATCAAGGGAGCAGGACGGAGGGAGAGCCAAACCACCCCACTCAGCCTGGTGGAGCTCGCAACGTGGAGCACAGATCCCCCAAAACTACCCTTCCAGGCCACCATCCCATCCATGACAGCTGTCTGCCCTCTCCCTACAGCTGGCTTCAGTTTCACCCACACTCACCTCCTCCAGGTCCATCTCCTCAGGGCTGCCCAAGGGGTTGAGGAACTGTCCTCCCCGGGACTTCCTTAGAGGCACCACCACAATGTAGAAAGCCCTAAGAGTTGGGAATAATCAGAATAAATGGAAGGAATTAATCTCCTTCTACAAGCCACAGAAGCAGGACACACTGATGTGGAAGGTTTGCCCACACAGCCCCACTGGCACAACCCATAAACCCCTTATTTTTCATTTAACAGTTGTTATTGCTGCTCCTGAAACGAGCCTGGATTCTGTGGCCACCCCGCCTGACACGTCTCCTTATTTCCTCCCTCTGCATTTCTTTGGCATCCCCTGTTAGCTTTGGGAAGTGGCTCCAAAAGACAACAGTCATTTTTTGCCGGGAACACCCCTGCCACTGCCACTGCCCCTGCGGGTTTGTACTGGGGACTCCAGTCAGCCCAGCTGGTCCCCGCAACGTCACCTGAGCACCCCACATCCGCAGTTCAGCAGAAACCTACTGGACAGGCACAGGGCTCTTCACGTCTGGGAGAATCACCACCACGTTGCCATCGGCATCAGGCTTGTGGGTCACCTCTGGCTTCTTCGATAGCATGTCGGCAGCGGTCCAGGCAGCGACGTTCTGCTGCAAGCCCCCCATGCTATTGCCCTGGTTCATGAGAACAAAGTTGTAGAACGTGCGGGGCTTCAGGTTGGTGATGAGTTTCTTGGTGGTGCGGCCGTCCACATCGACGTGCAGCCCGTTATACTGGATCTGCGGGAGGAAAAGAGGCAGCAAAGTTGTACCATGAGCAAGGCTGATACGGCTCAAGCAACCAAACCTCCTCCTCCCCGGTGCTTCGGTTTGCAGAGAACACGGGGCACCCGGCTCCGCTCCGCTCCCCCCAGCCCTGCCGGAGCTGCTGCACATGCAGGAACAGGAGCCGTTTGTGGGGATGGCTTGTGCCCACTGCAGGGTCCCCAAGCACAAGGCCAACGCAGGACAAAGTCTTGAGATTCCTCTGGGTAGAGAAATTTTTATCTGGAAATGGGAAAATTGTGCTAACTTGCCTAGGGAGGCAATGGTTTGGTGACAGAGGTGGGAACGTATCCCAACAGCCCTGATTTTCAGCCCACCTCCTTGATCTAGTGATTAACCCTTATCTGCCCACATCTGGGGCAGGAATCCAGAACTCCTGCCTCTTCCAACAGACAAGACTCCCATGAAACTGGGAAGAAACACAGTTCCAGCTCCTCCATTCCACTTGCCTTGTACGGGGTGGGAGAGTTGTAATTCTCGGGAAACTCCCAGCTCAGAAGGACAGATGTCTTTGTCACCATCTTCACCTTGAAGTTTTTGGGCAAAACTGCAGAGAGAAAAGTGAGGAGGAAGGGGAGACAGGAGAAGAAAAGGCAGCAGAGGGAAGGAAGAGCAAGAAAGAGAAGGAAGAGAACGTCAGGCACCAGCAAAGGACCTGCCAGTCTGGGTCTGGCTGAGGCTGCAGGAATGGAAGGGCTTGCTCCCTCCTCCACACTCTGCTTGAGTTTTGCCAAGGTCCATCTCCCAGTGCTCCCTGTCCCCATGCCTAACCCCAGGGAGGGGTGAGGGAGGGTGCGTGGCTTTGCCCACACACCACGGGGCTGGGTGGCTGCTGCAGGAACGAGGTGCTGGCTTTCTGAGCATGCTCAGGTGAGGAAACCCCATCCCAGGTCACGTTTGGAGGCTTTTTTTTTTTTTTTTTTTGCTTTTTCTCTTTTCTTTTGGCTGTTTGCAAAAGCTGAAGAAAATGCTCTTCCCACCTGTATAGCGACTGGCCCCCCACTTCAGGTGCCAGCGAAAGAAGGGTGTCCGGACTTAACGTAGAAGAAAGCGGTAAAAGGGACTTACCTGGCACAAGGCAGAGAGGAGCGGAGGGACTGAGTGTGAAACCAGAGTGCTTTGCATTTACTCACGAGCCTGGCTGAGCCTGGCTTGACCTCTCCAGCTCTCTGCCTCCCGGTACCAGCCCCGGTTAGAAGGAGAGAGAGGGAGGAGAAACCGGTAAGTCCTACCTTGATCCAGCTGGAACGTCCGATACTGGACGGTCGGGCTGTACGGCCCGGGGCCTTTACTGGTGTGAGCACGGATTTTAACATCATAGGCGGTGTTGGGTTTGAGGCCGTTGAGGGTGTACGAGTTCTCTGGGGAGGGGGGCAGGTCTTTTTCCAGCGGGTTGCCGGGAGAACCGGCTTCCCGGTAAGCCACGGTGTATTTGACGATGGCTCCGTTCCTCTCAGCCAGCACGGGGGGGAGCCAGCCAAACTGGACCGACATGGAAGTGATGTTGCTCGCCTCGAGGATTTGGGGGTAACCCTTGGGGATGTCTTCAGGGGTGGTGAGTTCCTGCACAGCTTCCTCCCCAAAGCCAGCCCGGCTTTTCACAGCCAGCTTGAAAACATACGTGGCGCCTTTGTGGATGCTGGGAGCGGTGTACTTATCCTCCAGGGCCGTGAACTCCAAGGTAGCCAAGGGGTCGACATCCTTGCGGCCAAACTGGAGCCGGTAGCCCATCACCTGGCCTTCTGCATCCAGCGGAGGCTCCCACTTCACCAGCAGAGTGTTCTCCTCTGTCTGGTGCACAGACAGGATGGGCTTCCCTGGGACTGGGAGAGAAGAGAGACAGTTAAACGTGGGACAGGGTGACTGGTGAGGAGATGCAGAGACTCTTCAGCTGCAGCAACAGGTTCCTGAAATGAGTGGCAAGGTTTCAGCTCGACTGGGTGTAGGTCAGCGCACCCCCCTGTAAACCGAGCTGCTGCTGTTGCTGCCCGCTTGGGGTCCAGGTGGATGGTTTCTATCAAGTTTAGGAAATGAGGTGCACTGCCAATGTGTCGGCTGGGAGGTCCTGACACATTTCTGGATTTATTTGCTTCCTACTTTCCTGAGGATGGAAAGGTGTGCACAGCTCCTCCCTCATCCCTGGACAGCTGGGAAGAGCAAACTCAGGAGTCCTGACTCCCAGGTTCCCATCCTGATCAGCCAAGCAGATTGCTTCCCAGGGCAGGGAAGAACGAACAGGGGAGTCCCCCAAACTCCCATCCCAACACATGCCGAAAGAGGCTGGAACAGATTGGCTCAGGCTGGGAAGTCCAGAGCAGCGGAGGGTGAAGAAATGAAGGATGGGAACGGGAGCCTGGGCAGCCCTAGGTGCTGAGCAGCAGGCAGGAGGCCAGCTGAGCCAGTCTGGCCGGCATCTGATCGCCCAGTTGGGTACAGAAAGATGGAATCACACAGAGAGTGGAAACAGAGCCCAAAATCTGTCCGAGGCAGAGGGCAGGGAGAGCTGCTGCTTGCTCTGTGCAGTTCCTCTCCTCCGGAGGAAGGGAAAAGACAGCGGAGTGCTGGTGTGTTTTCAGGGGCTCCCTCCTTCACCTGCCAGTTCGGGGGATATTGGAGGGGCTCAGCAGTGCCGTGCCTCTGTCTAATGAGCCCTGGCACTGCCCGGCGGCTGAGCAAGCCCAGAGCCACAGTTAAATGACGTGTGCTGGCCCCAAGGCTCCTGAAGCTGGAGAAAGCAGAGCATTAATTCCAGCAGCTCACGCGCCATTGACACTCAACTCCCCTATTAGAGATCCCATTTCCTTCCCTCCGCCTTGGTATTTTTTCTGGTTGAAAATGAGAGAAAATGGAGTTCCCGGCCCGCTCTCGCAGCACAAGCCCCATCGAGGGTCGGCGGGTTGGGAAGCTGTGCGGCGGCTGGCGAAGCGAGCAGGGGGGAGCCGGCAGGGAAGGATGCTCCTGTGTCAGGGACCCTGGTAGAGTCAAACTGGGGAAACCACTCTGCCTGCTGCATCGCCCGACATCTGAACATGGGGATGAGGGGTTGTCTCTGAAAAAAATGCTTTACTCATTTCAAACTGCCAAAGATTGGCTCAGGAACAGCACGGGCAGAGCCCCTCCTGGAAATGCGTAAGAAACACATTAAAGAGAAAACCAATGCCATTACCCTGATGTTTTGGTTTTTATCACAAACGTTACTATAATCAGCTGGACTTGAAAATGGTACATTTGCACAACAAATATTGTTTGGAAGAAAGGTGAGAAGAAAGCATGGGGAGGGGGGAAGTGTTTTATTTTGCAATTGGCTTGGACAGTAAAGGAGAAAATGGGATGTATTACTGTATTTAAATTCAGCCCCTAGCCCTGAATGATAAAGAAAGAAATCTCTCCTCTCAGAAGGTATATTGACTCAACAGCGCACAGAAGATAAGAATGTTACAGAGCCATTTGAAAGATTTTTTTTTTTTCAAAATAGCTATTCCAAGTTGGGGGAAATGGAGTTTTGGGTAATAGGTGCTGTGCTGGAGAAAACATCCCTCTGTGTGACTGATCACCTGCACGGCAAATCCTAATGGGGGAGATGAGGGAGGCTGACAAGAGAGTGACAAGGGAGGGAGGCAGAGAGAAAGGCTCCAGGAGAGAAAAATGAAAAGGGCAGAGAGCCTCGGGAAGAGGGAAATGAGAGGAGAGAACCAGGGAGCGAGTGTGACAAAATGTGGCAAAGGCAGAGGGGGGAAGGAGAAGAGGGCGAGGGAAGGAAAAGGCTCCTGACAGCACGCTGACACTATAAGGTGTGGGCACAGCAGCCTGGATGCTGATGTCCGAACGTACCCTGCTGTAACACCCGCAAGAGCTGGCGTCCCCGAAAGCAACCTTGTTCTCCTACGTGCCGCTCTCTTACCTGGGCAGGAGAGGCAAGAGGGGAGCAAGAGGCTGAAATCCAATTCACTTGTCTGAACGCAAAAACATAACATGAGATGAAGACGTGAGTCAGGACAGGGAGAAGGCGAGGGCACGGAGGGCAGCTGTGGCTCCAGCCCTGTGTGCTCCAGGCCAGGGCTCCCAAGCAGTCGGCAGAGTGTCTGCGCTGCCTCCAGAGCCCGAGCAGAGGTTTCCAGGTTAATTACGCTGCGCTGACCAAAGGCCTTTGATCCCTTCCGAGGCAGAGCAATGTTCTCCCAGAAACGAGGGATGATGTCAGTTTATGCAGCTGCTACAGGCAGGGTGAAGATGACTGCCCCCAAATAAGCAGAAAACGAACAGAAAGCCAGGGGTGGGAAGGTAGTAGACAAAGAAAAGAAATGAAAAGAGGAGAAAGCCATCATCTGACAGCAGGAACAAAAGAAAGGGCACGAGAAAGATGGGGTGAGAGAAGGTAACCGCAGTCCAGCAAGAGATGGGCTGGGCGAGGACAGCTCCGGGTCTAGGCTCCGCAGCCTCCCTCCACTGCACGGAGCCCTTCCCCTGCTGCAGAGCAGAAACCACAGGAAGGCAGAAGCTGAGGACAGGTAGAGCGTGTACCTCTCCTTTCTGCCTGCAGCACAACTGTCTGGAGGGGCAAGGGACACCCTGCTGTCCCTTGTCATTCCTCTGTTCAGGCTCTCTCGTCCCAGCTTGGCACCGTGTCCCCTGTACCGAGGCTGACAGTCACCGTGCCACCAGGAATAGGTCAAGGGGAGGAATGAATCCAGCTCCCAGAAATGCTAGCGAGGAAAGGTCAGTACTGTCAGAGCTTTTCCCTCTGCTAGTCCTGAGCAAAGAGGGGACCTATATTCAGACACGACAGCAGAAGAGTGGGCGGTATAAGCCACCACTGCCTGCCTGCTGCTTTTCAGATCTCTGCAACTCAACAGCACGAGAGCAGACCCCTGGCTCTCCTGTTTCCCAGGGTACCTGTGTGCACCAACCAGCAAAGCTACTCAGTCTCCCCAGGGTGTCAGACCAGGCAGAGACTCTCGTCACTTCTGGTGCACTGGAATTTATGGCAAAAGAGATGATGAGCAATGGATTCATCCTCTGTTGCACTGCTGGGTGTGTCTGGGCTTTCTGCAGCACTGGACAGAAAATGATGTCATTTAGTGAGGGCTACCTGTGAGGAATGAAGGGGTTCCTGCCCTACTAGAAATAATTGTGTCTTTGGGGCAGCACGGCATTTATTGCAAGCCCGTCCTTCTTGAAGGGAGTGGGATGAAAGAAGCAGAGTCTAGAGAAGGAATTTCTTGTCTTTAGAAAACCGATGAATTCCCATGGTTCAGGAAAAGCCTCTTACCTGCACCCTTCGTGGTGACCACCTTCGGTTTGCTGCGAGCACCATCTCCCTTCATGGTGTAGGCGGCTACAGTAATGGAGTACGCAGTCTCCGGCTGGAGCCCAGCAATGATCATCTCCTGTTTGTGAGATTCCAAGGGAAAATGATGTAAATATTCAGGTACATACACACGGGTAGATCCCTCCTCCTTGCAGGAGTCCCAGCCCTTTTCTAGCATGCAGGAACATCCACTGAACCTGAAACCACGAGATGCTCTGGGGCAACTGGGTGGATGCGGCAATCGGCAGGAGGATGGGAGCCACGTTCCCTTAGAGAGAGGCATGCACAGCCCGGCTGCAAACAGACCCTCTCTGTAAACACGGCGTGTCTCTGGTTCAATCCGCTCTCTTCCAGATCTGCCTCTCGTACGCTCCCCATCTCAACACAAACTGCTTCAGCCATCAAACTGCTGCTGCGCTCTTTAAACTCTTCCTCTTCACCACGCCGTCTCAGAGGAGGTCTCAGCAGTTTCAAGGAGATTACATTTTTTTTCTCCATTACTGCCTTCCCTCCTCTCCTCGGAGATATTTTTTAATGACTTCAGAATATTAAAGAGATTGCTTTAACGCAAAGAGCAGGACGACATTTTCTGCTTGCACGCCAAAGCTCTGCTAAATCCCCAGCACCCTCCTTCCTCCCTCCTCTATCCGCCTCCCCCCACCTGGCTCCTGGGAGCTTTGTGCGAAGGCTGGCCCCAAGAACAGCCCTTCCCCAGGAACTATCGGCCCTCCAAAGGGCTGGGTTGTAAAAGGAACACCCGATGTATCGGACGGGATGAGAGCATACGCAGCAGGGTTTTCCCCAAGGCCCTGGAAAGGAGGGAGAGGTGAACGTTGTGTTTTATCATCTTCTTCTCCCCTCACCCCCCACTGCCCCTTTGTGCTTTCAATACGAAATCTCAGGGCAACACGTGGGGAAGAATTGGCTGGTCCTGAAAATATCTGTGTGGCTCCCAAAGCTGAGCAGGGAGTGGAACAGCAGAGCCTCCAAACAGCGGGATTTTGATCAGCAAGGTGGGAAGCCACCAGCTACAGAGACAGGTCTGTCTTCTGGAAGTCAAGAAACCTGTTCTGCTTTCACGCTCGCCCCTGAGTTTTGTTAAGATTTTAGGCAAGAGACTTTGCCTTTCGTGTGACTCAGTTTCTCCAGCTGTAAAGAGGCCCCTCACTTTGCAGGGCACTTAGCAGCCTCCAGGAGACACGAATTTACGGCGTATTACCTCGGGACCCTGCCAGTCCAAGCAGGAAATGCTTTCTCCTACTGCTTTGTAGCTTAAGATCACGGAAACCATTTAGTGTTTTAGCAGGTGCCAAACAGCCAAGCTGATTTTAAGCTCTACTTAAACGGTACAAGGGCCAACAGCGACTGAGTGCTTTGTATCAATGAGTATCTGAGAATCTTGGCCCTTTAAGGGCACAAAGCACTTGATCATCTCCTGATAGCTTACGAGTTATGGGGCTGCGATTACTCGATGCTTTTCAGCCTACCGATGTTTTCCAGACACAAGCCAGAGGTGCTTGCGGACCAGCCCATCATCTTGAAGCGTGTGTTCAAGGCAGTCCCAAATTCAACGTCCCATCTGCTTCCCCAGGGAGGAACAGCAGATGCATCTCTCCTTCCGAGCCGAGGGGAAAACCCTGCCTACTGCTGCGTGCTGACAAACTACACAGTCACACGGGGCTGCGGAGCAAAGTGACCAGGGTGGGGACGAGGCACGGGAACACCAACAGCAGGCTTTAAAACAGGCACAGCGGTACTGCCAAAAAAAATAAAGGAAAAGGAAAAAAAATCACACCACAACAGAAAGTGGGAGAAGGGAAGGCACAGAACCAGGACGGGAGGATTTTTTTACTTTTTTTACTTACGTATTCAGCAGTGTCATCTGTTTCCCACTGGGCAGAGAACAAGAGAGGTTTTGCACATGAGAATACAAGAGGGGAAAGAAGGGAAAGACAGAGACACAGCATGAGGAAGGAGTCTCTGAGCAAGCAGCCACACAAGGTCAGAAGTTACCAGGCCAGCATGAAGGAAGAAGTAAGAGTGGGAGAAATTAGTAGATTGCACTCTGGCCTTTGCCTGTCTTAAAAGACTCCCCAGCACAGGGAGGATGGATGGTATTTAGTTCAGTGCTGGGACAGCAGTTCATACTCTTCCACAATAGCTATTGTCTGGGAGTGCAAATGAACTGCAGAAAGACATGGTCATGGAGACACTCATCTGCCTTCTCCAGCGTTACGGTGCTCGGGGTGAGACGAGGCGGCTGGAGCACCCACCCCCTCAAACCTTCCAGGAGAGGAGACTGGAGCAGGAGGCGAGTCCTCACCTGGGCGTCAGCCAGCATGATATCCTTGATCTGGGGCAGCCCCCTGGCCTCGCCGTTCTCCATGCGGACATAGTGGACCTGGTACCCGCGGATCTGGCCGTGCTGGCGGTTCTGGACTGGGGAGCGCCAGAACACCTGGATGGCAGTCGAGTTCAGGACCTCCACCTCCACTTTCCGAGGCGGCGCACTGGGCACTGCGAGGAAGGGAGAGAAGGGGGAAGAGTCACTTTCTATCGGCAGCCTGTCGCTTCCCCTATGGGACATACGCACACTGAACCTACAGCCCTGAAAAGGGGGGGAATTAACAAACATCCTCTGCCACTGGCCTTTATTATTCAGTGAAACAGGATTGGATCTGCATGGCTCGGAGATACGCATGGAAACACGCCCAGCTCATCGTCCAGCCATTCCTTCCCGAGCTCCTTTGTCCCCAGTTTGCTCAGATGGAAGAAACCACATTCTGAGGGCAGAGCCAATTTTTCATGAGCCAGAA